AAGCAGTTTCGTCGTTATCTTAGGATAATGATGAATTTGAACAAGCCATCTGATGAGTCCCTTAAGCAAGGACGAAACCGGTCACGGCTGCTTGTTCTAATCTAGTCTCAAAATTGAAGAATTGTGACCCTTGGCCATTTTTTTTACAGGTGTATCAGAAAAATCTAATATTTTGGATTTAGAAGTTTCACGATATGATCTTCTTTTGAGCTAAAAAAATTCAAAAAAACATTTTACCTCTGGCCGGCTCCATATAAAGTTGGGTGGCCTTCTGGCGGACCCTCTCTTAATTTTCTAAGGATTCTGATGCAGCTTTTCACGACGATCCTGAATCTGTAATTGGTTTTATGATTCATGTGGATAATGAAGGACTATCATCGGTTTTTCGATAAAAATGCGCTTTTTTTAAATTCCATAAAAATGCATTAATAGTATTTGACTCGTATCTCTATGAAAATAGGGACAAATTCTAATAACTTTATTATCACAATGTGCAGCACAAAAATTTCTACAAACTCTGAAAGTTTCAATGAATTTGGACGTGATCATCGAATCGACTGGCGAGATCCCATGGATACATCCATTCGGAAGACAACATTTGAAAATTTTCTGCACACATGTTGTTATATGCAGAAGTTAAAACATCAATTTATTTATTAACATTATAAAAACAAAAGTATATATATATATAATTAAGGTTTGAGATTTTTCTCATTGTTTTCATTCATTGAATTTCTTGTCTTGGATCATTAATATTAAATAATGTTGAGAAGAAAAATTTCAATGAGTTAATATTATTATCATCAGAATTATCCTTTTTCATTCAGCAGTGTTCAGACTTCTAAAAAAGGAAATTACGAAAGTTTCAAAAATTTTGAAAGTGATGCCTCCGAAAGCTTCGTTACTTCGAAAAATCCGATAATTTTCAAAATTTCCAAAATTTCCATAACTTCCAGTTCCCAAAATTCCGTAATTTCTGAAATTTCCGCAACTTCTGTTACCTCCCAAATTTTTCAAAAACACTTTTCCTTGAGTTTACGTGTTGTTGGAAATTACAGAAATTTACGTAATTTCCTTTTTGGAAATCTGAGCATACCTCCTCCCACGCGCATCTCATCCGCCCAAACGTGCGAGTGTTGGATTCCATCAGATATATGGTGAAATCCGACCGTCAGATTGGGTATTGGATTCATTCATCTAGGATGCTGTACTGTGTAACATTTTCATTCTCCCTTATTAAAATTATTCAACTATAGTCATCTCGTTTTTTTTAATGCAACCATCAAACAAGTACAATCGAAATGAAGATGAAGAATCTTAACTGTCATTTTTTCGTTTTTTGTCTTAAATTATTCATAGTTAGGTCGCACAGTGACAAATAACAGCCAACCAAATTGTCGTCAATATAATATTGAACGAAATCTTGAAGATGTAACATTGATTTGGTGTGATCAGAATATGGATGATTCATCTAATTTACAAAATATGCAAATATTACTGAAACAATCGATCAATTACGTTCAATTTTATACCGATCCGCAGCTATGTCTCGATTTTATCCGGTCGATCAAAGATGAGAAAATACCTCTTGTCATATCGGTTGTATTCGAAAAACAAATTATACTTGAAGTCTGCTCACTTTCAACGGTCAATTCAATATTCATGTTCTGTGTTGGTCATGAGCATTACACATCCTTTTCTAAAGCAGAACAATGTAAGAAAACTATTCGAATATTTACTGACAAACAAGCATTGTTGAAACCAATTAGATCTAGAATTGGTCTTATAACAGAACAGACAATGGAATTCAGTTTGTTCGATAGTAAAAATCAAAAACTCTATTAGAAACATTTCAAAAGAGTCCGCCGCTTTTCTGTGGTTTCAACTATTAATGAATATTTTAAGACAAATTCCACGAACTGATCAAGCTCTTCATGATATTTTTGAAAAATGTTCAGATTATTATCAATCAAACACTGCTGAATTGAGAAAAATTGAAGAATTCCGAATGACATATACGATGGACAAGGCTGCTGAATGGTACACAACCGATTCATTCGTCTATCGGTTAATCAATAAAGCATTGAGAACAGAAGATATTGAACTTCTTTATTTATTCAGATTCTATATTGTCGATTTATGTTCACAATTAGATCAAGAACATAAAAAACTTCTTTCCACACAGATACTAACATTATATCGTGGACAAATAATGTCAAAAGAAGAATTTGACAAGTTGCAAAGAAGTATTGGTAGTTTAATATCGCCAAATGGATTCTTTTCAACTTCAAGATACCTCAGTGTGGCAATAAGCTTCATTGCCGGTCGTTGCAATATGGCTGAAGAAAGAACTGTGCTATTTGAAATTACTGCTGATTCTCGACTTGAATCCGTTATTTTTGCTGACATTGATACATACAGTCGAATGTAATGAGAGAGAGAAGTTTTGTTTAGTTTAAGAGCCGTATTCATTATTACAGAAATTAAATATGATTTATGTATAAATGTATGGAAAGTTTACCTGACAGAAACTGATGAAGGATCAAAAGAAAAAAGTGAATATTTAAAGTTTATAAAAAAACAAATGGAAACAGACTATAGTCCAACTATTCTATTCGGCGATCTTCTCTGGAGAAACATGGGCGAATTTGACAAAGCAGAGAAATATTTTAAAACCTTATTGAAATCGCTACCATATGATCATGAAGATATACCGTCTGTTTATCATCAAATGGGAAATATATTTTTCGAGAAAGGTGAATTGAATGTGGCATTAGACTTTCATGCACAAGCGTATGGTTTACGTTGTCAACGTTTACCCAGGTCGATGAATCCTACAACGAATCCGACCAGATCCTAAAAGGATCCCTCCAGTCGGATATAATCGGATTCCATCGGAAACCAAGAGAAATCCAACGAAAAATCCTATTCAACGGATCCGTGAGTAGTTTCGTCACCCGGATCCCTATGGGATTTTGTCGAATGACCGGATCCGTTATTGGATTTATTCACCTGGGTATCTTCCGATCATCCTCAGATTGCCCAATCACTGAACTGTATTGGTCTACTTTATGAATACAAACAGGATTATGATCGAGCTTTAGTTTACTTTAAACAAACACTCGCTATTCATGAAAAAAATTATTCGGGTGATCATTTGAATAAAGCAAAGACAATAATGAATACTGGCAGAGTATTTTTAGGAAAGAAAGAGTATGATAATTCATTAGATTATTTTGCAAAAGCCCTTGAAATGTATAAAGGTGTGCTGCCCGAACAACATCATTCAATTGCTCGATGCTTATGTAATATTGGTTGCGTATACGAAGATCAACTTAATTTCAATCGTGCACTTGAGTTCTACCGCCAGACATACGAAATGAATGAAAAAGTATTATCTAGTGAACATATTTATCTCACAAAAGATCTCAACCGGATTGTTGGTATTTATAAAAAAAAATGGTCAATATGAGGAAGCTATGGATGTTTGTATCAAGAAGTTAGCTGAACAGCGAGTGAATCTACCACAAAATCATCCTCGAATCGGACATACACGAGAAACCATTGGTAATATATACAGTGAAACGGATAATGCTCAAGCACTTGTATTCTATCATGAAGCACTAACGATATTTGAGCGTTGCATGCCATCTGAACCAAAAGCTACAGCCGACTGTTTAGAACATAATAGTACTGTATACTCCAATCTAGGTACATTTGATGAGGCATTAAAATATCGAAATAAAGCATTGGATATATTAGGTTGGTAAGAAATTTTTTGCGTTTTTTTCAGAATTTCCTAGAACAGTCGAGATAGTTCTAGAAAGTTCCATACTAAGGGTATATAAAGGGAGTACGAGAGTCTTTCGAATGATAACAAAATCAAGAATATGGACGTCGATCTCGAAGGAGAAATCAATATATCTCGACGAGAGCTAAGAGTACTTCTGCTTCACGAATTCCGTTTGGGTCGTAAAGCGACGGAAGCAACGAGCAACATATGCAGCACGATGGGCAAGGATGCAGTGTCCATTCGTCAGCGCAACATTGGTTCCATCAGTTCAAGAACGGCAACTTCGAACTCGATGATTTACCTCATACCGAAAGACCACTGCAGGTGGATATGGATGGATTAAAGCAGCTTATCGAAGAAGATCCTCGGTTGACAATATACAGATCATTGTTTTTTGTATAAATTCCTAAATCAAGCTCTTCGAACAGAAGATATCGAATTGCTTTATTCATTTCGATTCTTTATTATTGATTTATGTTTTGAAATCGAAAATATGAAACTAACGAGCGGCAAAATTTTAAATTGTATCGAGGACAAAAAATTCCAATTGAAGAATTCGAAAAATTGAAAAAATAATATCGGTACAATCATATCAACCAATGGATTTTTCTCCACTTCAAGGTAACACTTCAAATGATCATCGATCAGTTCTTTTTGAAATTGAAGTTGATCTATCCCTCAAACGGTCGTCTGTGCCGATATTAGCATTAAAAGCCTAATGAAACATGAAAAAGAAGTTCTTTTCAGCTCAATTCTCTTTTCAAAATTGCTTCTATCGATTTTGATTCGGATCATCACTTGTGGAAAGTGCAACTAAAAACAATAAATGAAGGTACACAAATCGCTCAGGAATATCTAGCAATTGTTGAGAAATAAATGATTGACTATTCACCAATTATCTATTTTGGTCGTCTTCTCCTCAAAGAGTTAGCTCAAGTTGATCAAGCTGCAAAATTTTACAACATATTACTTAAATCTTCTTCACCAGACCATCCGAACATTTCTTTCGTCTATAACGGACTTGGAAATGTGCATGAAAAAAGAGACGAACAATATTTGACATTAAAGAATTATGAAATTGCCTATATGATTCGTCGAGAGCAATTACCACCATCAAATTATGACTTAACATACAAAGAGAAAGGCGATCTCGATGTTGCACTTAATCATCTCTTTCGTACACTCGAAATGTTCCAGCGTGTTCTGTCTTCGAAACATACTAACACATTGCTTGGTGTCTAGGTAATATTGGATTAGTTTACATCGACAAG